TCCTTTAGATTGATGTGGTCTCTCAGTTTAGAGAGGTTCATAACTTTCATACATGTTACAAATATTTCTCAAGGATACAATGTCACATATTAATTTTAAAAACTGGTATTTTGTGGGTAAGACATTTGAAGACACAACCTGGAAAATATGATAGAACCAACAGATGTTAAATCAAGTTCTTTTAAGATGGAAAATATTTTCAAGGTAGGGAACTGTCACCGCAGAGTAACCCCAAATCTTTCAGCAAGCCCCAAAACCTGTGAAATTAACCAGTGTTCACAGTTGTGTTTGCTTTCAAAAACGGAGGCTGGAAGCCAGTAACCACAAACAAGCCACAAGATGAGAAGGGAGCTCAGCAGTGCTACCCTGACCTGAACCTGAATCCTCGCCTCATTACCATATTGTAATCTCTGCCCGGGGGAGGCGGGGGGCGGGGGCGGCGAGGGGATGAGGGGTGGAGGTGCACTTAGCCGGGGCACATAAAATGCTGGGGTGAAGGAGAGACTGCACACACTCCAGTTCTCCCTGGAAAGCCCCATCTTTCCAGGAATCCCCTCCCCCAGTCTCTGCCTACTACCCTAAGACATCTTACAAATCCCTCTTCGCCCTACCCCTTCCCTCAAGAAGGTGCTTTGATCTCAGGCTCCCCTTCTACATTCCTTGATCAGTGATAAAGTTTCTGCTCTGCTTAACCGAACCTGGTCTCATTTTATTGGCATGAACGGCACCAAGCAAGGAAAAAAACCTACTGGGATCCAAAACCCCCTTGAGGGTCGGTAACAGAATCAGTACAAAGGATGCAAGTATGAGCTCCAGAATACAGATGAAAATGCTCAGCAGAAAAACAAACAAAAAAACTTGTCGAAAAGTGGCTGCATCCAGACCCTGTCGGATCCTCACAAATGACAGCTTTTTACCTCAGGGCATTTGATAATATCAGGCTCAGGCTATGCCAGGAGTCAGAGTCCCAGCTCAGTTGGCTATATCGGGCTGTTCCTTCTCCAGGGTTCTCAGGAACTCTGCCGTCGATGCCTCGGGGTCTCTGGTGAGGGGGAGGGGCGGCAGGCCAGCGATTTGGGGCAAGGGGTGAGAGTCAACGAAGCTGCCACTGTGATGACAGTGGCCCTGAGATCCCTCTCCTTACCCTCCCGCCCCGCCGTAAGTGCTGGTGTCTTAGCCTGTGGGACATCCCTCCCCCCGCTCCCTCTTCCCACCCCCGCCAAGCCTGCCCCTTCCTTGCCAGAGCCAGAGGGCTCTCCTTGAGCGCCTTCCGTCCCCAGTCTGTTCGGCGAGTCCAGGGACATCGACGCTTCAGGGCCGCCAGCACATTCCCCGTGTGGATGCCCACGACCTCCCAACCGGGCCGAGCTTGGGATTTCCCTCCCAGCCTCGGACCCTGGTCTGTCCCTCTCTGCCTGAAGGTCGTCTTCGCCCTCGCCCCTCTCCGCGCGCTTGGGCCTGGGGGAGAGCAGTGCCCTCGGCGCTCCGCACCCCGCGGCCGGCCTCCGGTGTCCTCACGGGGTCCCCACCGCAGGGGATCCCCCACCACGCCTTCCCCTGCCTCCAAGTAGCTGCTGTCTGACCAGGCGCTCCTGTCGCCTCAATGCATCCCGCCCGACGTGGCCCCTTCCCTCCCGACGCGTCTGTGACCACGGCCTCAATGACCTTGTCCCTGCCCCCGGGCGTTGGTCTAGCGCGCGCTGCACAGGCGTCCTCCCCCTCCCTGACGACCCTGTCTCCTCCTTCCTTCCCTGGGGCCGGCTGCCCCTCCCCACCCCAGCCTCACTCAGCCTCTCCCCGCCTACCCCTTTCTCTACGCTCACGAGTCTGAAGGAGAGCGGCCCCCTCGCTGTCTCCCGCAGCTGGCCCTTGGAGGTTCCTGGATGTCGCACGGCTTCCTCCTTTCCGGGACCCCTCTCCTTCCCTGAGTGGCCACTGACGCTCCATCTCTTGAAGGGTTACCCCTCAGCAGCTTGCGCCCCCTGACGCCGCCTTCCCTGTTCCTAGGGGCGGAGGGAAGCCCTATTGCCCACCCCCCACCCCCAGTATTCCCCAGCACGTGTGTGCACCGCTGTAGATCCCTTCTCTCCTTAGACTTAAGGCCCCTCTCGCTGACACCGCCTCCGCTCCGGTTCCTTATGCTCTCCTTGACCTTATTTTTCCGGCCAGGCCGAAGTTGTTGCTGGATCCCAGGCTCACAGTCCAATCCCATGAGAGCGGCCTACCGGGTGCGGTGGGGGAGGGCAAAGACATCCACGCAGCAGCAGAGGTCACATACAGGCCGATAGGAAGGCTCGCCCTTCTTGGCCCAAACCGAATGACTTAGAACTCCATCATTTCACCATGCCCATTCTCCCCAGACTTGAATTTTTAAGCCTTTTAACGCTAAATGGACGACTTTTTCTACTTTTAAAGGAATTTCAGGAATTATGTTGATGGTATCACGTTTCGCCTCTGCAAGCTCTCTAGCTTTATTGCCTGTTATCTCTATACCCTACTCCCACTTGCCTGCCCTTAGAGTTGTCCATTCCATTCTGTTTATCTTCCGTTTTTATGTGTTCTTGCCAAAAAGTGTCTTGTTTTGCTGACATACCTTTTACATTTGTGTAAAAGGAATTGTATTCTCATTCCATTTATTTTTCAATGCTAGGATTTTAAGATTGGTTCATGTACCTTCTGCCCCTTCTAACTGTTGCCCCTTGGGCCCATCTGCCTTGTTTTACCCTTCCCTTTACCTACCCTGCTCCCACTAGTAACAGTGCAATAGGCATTCTCATAGTGCCCCCTTATGCTTCGCTTCTCAAACAGGGTGCAATGTATCACCTGGGAATCTTGTTAAAATGCAGGCTCTTGGCCAGGCACGGTGGCTCATGCCTGTAATCCCAGCACTTTGGGAGGCTGAGGCGGGTGGATCACCTGAGATCAGGGATTCAAGACCAGTCTGGCACCAACGTGGTGAAACCCCGTCTCTACTAAAAATACAAAAATTAGTCGGACTCGGTGGCAGGCGCCTGTAATCCCAGCTACTTGGGAGGCTGAGGCAGGAGAATTGCTTGAACCTGGGAGGTGGAGTGCAGTGAGCTGAGATTGTACCACTGCACTCCAGCCTGGACAACAAAGCAAGACTCTGTCTTAAAAAAAAAAAAAAAAAAATTGCAGGCTCTGATTCAGCCGGTCTGCAGCAGGGCCTGAGACTGTATTTCTAACCAGCTTCCAGGTGATGCCTATGTTGCTGATTCTGGGACTACATTTTGAGAAGCAAGGCCCTTATAGACCTCTGTGAAAATGCATTCTGGGATTCTGGGTCCTAGGGTATATGCTGATCCAATGTGATGAGTATTGCCCATCTGCTCTCCAGTCTGGCTGCACCTCCTTACCCCATACCAGCTGGGCAGAAGGGTAAAAGGTATATATTCTGCGGGGAAAGGAAGAAGGTCTTCTCCTTGCTGCTGCCCACATCCCATCCACCAGTGCATCTGGTCAGGGCCCAAGACTCCTCTCCCTCTTCATTGGAATGGACCCAAGGCTCCAGAGCAATGTCTCTGGCTAGCAATGCATGGCCAAGTCAATGATGGATCTAGGCCAGGCAACCTGGTCTCCGCCCTCACCACATGGGATCCTGAATCCTCAGCCCGCCAGACATCTAGATTGGTTTGACTCATAACCTCCCTAGGCTTGGGCTTTAGCTCTGATAGGAGCTCTTGAGAAGCCATGGGGTCTTCAGTTAGTCAGGTTGTTTGTGTTTCCTTTGCCCCCTTCACCTTCTCTTGAGTAGCCTGGTAGGACTCAGATGGCCTGGCCTTGCCACTGGCAAATGGCTATCCTGGGCCTGACTTCTCATCTCTAAAATGGGATGGTCACAGCATAGCTATAATTTGTGGTGCTAGGAGCGGTCCCAGGTCCTTCACTCACATGCCAGAACCCTAAGACAGGAGTTCTTGCTTAGTTTTATCCATGAGGAAAGTGAAGTTGAGGAAGGTTTAGCAATTTCCACTAAGGGCATGGAGCTAGTAAGTGAGAGTGCTAGTATTCAAGCCCAGCCTCAGCTCATACACCAAAACCCATCTAACCATGAGACTATGTCAGCCCCATGTCCTACCTTGCTCTCGCTACCAGGCCATAATGCAGGGAGAAATACAAAGAAACAGAAAGGAAGGACTGGACCTTGGGTTTTGGCACTGATGCTGAAGGCATGTAATCAGTGGCATGGAGGGTTGCAAAACTCTAAGGCAAAAATGAACCAGGGTTCTAGGGACCAACCCCAAGGCCCTGAGTATTTATGGGGCAAGAGAAGAGGACCTTGGGTCTGGGGTTTCAAGAGCAAGGATTTTAGGGTTATATATAAAGCAGGGATCAGAACTGGGCAGGAGTTGGGGATGGCCAGGGATTGGGTGGGGGTCAGGTGTGGATAAAGTTGTCTATCATGTAGCTTACTTGGTAATAACTCAATGTTTTGTTGGAGGGGCCAGCAAGTGAACGAATGGCCAGCATTCAGGGCATCAAAGGATTGCCCTTTCCAAAGCCCTTCTGGTGCCTGAGCGGCTTGCTGGGTCAGTTTTGGAAACCCTGGGACTGTGCTTTCCCCACTTACACAGCTGTGCAAGCATCTCCTGGCACCCAGCCCCAGGCCCAAGCATTTCATAATCAAAATAGTTCAACATGTGCACATTTTGAGATTTCATGGCACATGACCTTTTATATCTTGTCCACACTTAACCAACCTCTTGTTTACCATTTTAGGGCCAAAATTCTAACCAGGACAGAGAGTTGATCTGAAAGCCCAGAGAAGCATCCTGTTCCTTCAACAGTCTTTGGGGTCAAAAGATCTTTTGAGCCTACCGAATGTTCTTAGAGGTGAAAACAACATCTTACAGGTTTTTGGTTTTGACAAAATGCTTCACAAATAGATATTGTCTTTGACTCACAACAACCCCATGACAGAAGTGGCCCACCTAACATTGAGACTCAAATGAATTAATTGGCCAAGGCCACACATTGTGTAAGTGGGTGAAATGAGACTTCTTGATCATTTTCCCATAACAGACCTTGGGATTCTTAGAGAGTGAGTAGGTACTGTCTGACCCCAGTTGGCCCATTTCTCAGACTTGGGGATGCGGACTGAGGCAGGAAGTAGGAAGTCTAGGGAGGAGGATGCCTGGGCTGCAAGGTTTGGAGGCGAGGGAGTTGAGGTCTCCTGGCTTCTGGCCAGCCTTCTCCCTGATAGATTTTTGTCACTGGGACCCTCTCTAGAGTCTGTGGTTCTCCTGGAAATGAAAAAAGGGAATTGCTGGGAGGAATGGCAAGGCCAGGGGTGCCCAGGTAGAAGTTTTCAGTGAGTCTGAAGCTGAGACAGCTGAGTGACTGTGAAAAAAAGATGCTGTCAGTTGCCAAGAGGGCCCCACGGGTATCATCACATCCATATGGGCACTGTCAGTGGCTTGGTCAAGCTCTGCCCCTGGCTAAGCAATTTCCACCAATGGCTAAGCCATCTGTTCTGCCCGCTCTTCTCAAAGGCCCCAGCCCCTCACACCAGGAACCTGCAGCATTGACTTGAGGAAGGAGTCCGGGGTCAGGCCAGTCTACCTGTTCGGGACTGGGGGTCTGGGGCCTGCCAAGGCAGGGGGCCCTTATCCCATTGCCCTCCCTCTCCCCACAGGGTCTCAGGCCCTAGGCCAGGGCTCAACAGACACAGGCAGTGGGATGGGGTTGCCCTTCTATTGATCCAAATCCTGAGTGTAGCCTGGGTGAGTCATGGAGGTGAGGAGGCCCACGAGGCTTAGCAGTGTGGAGAAGAGCAGCAGGAAGGAGGCCGTGAAGAGGAGGGCAGGCAGGGCACTGAGCACCAGCAGCAGGAGAGCCGGTAGCAGGTGGCGCCACACGGCGGCCACGACGGGCCACAAGGAGCTCAGTAGGTAGGAGCCAGTGGTGAAGAGTGCATGGCACAGCATCAGTGCCAGCAGCAGGTAGAGTATCCCCTCCAGACCCCACAGCAGGCGCTGCAGCGGTTGCCGCCAGTTCGAGGTGCTCCACCACTGGATCCAGCTCGGGGGCACGTGGCTCACCCACCAGCGTACCCAGCCATGCCTTGTGACCCAGGCTGACCAGGGCACTGCCTGCTGTGGCCCCTCGCCAGCCCCGATGGTATCTGTCTCCACTCGCGGCTGCTGCATCACGGCTGGTGCACCTGGGGAGAGGGCCAGGGCCTTGGAGATGCCTGGGACCTCGGGGCGGGGGGCAGAGAGGGGGTACAGGGGTCAGGAGGGCACCAGTGTGGGTGGGGTGGGGCAACAGAGTTGGGGTCTGGGACTTACCTCTGGGCAGTTACCTAAGTCATGTTGCTTCCTGCAGCACCCAGGACGGCCTGGCAGGCAAATCCAAGTCCCCACTCTCATCTACCCCCACCCTTCCCAGAGGAGCCCCTTTGTGACCCGGGCTGGGGTGGGGTCCAGCCAAGAGAGGAGTCACTGCAGGGTGTGAGGCCCACCCGAGTCCCTCTGCACAGACCCTCCAGGCTGGCAGGGGAGCCTCAGAGCCCCGCAGATGTAGTTTCTCATGCTTTCTCATGGGAAGCCCTCCCTGGATCCCCGTCCCTTCCCTGCTTTCCCTGCTGGCTGATACCCACCCCTTTCCACCCTGCTCTCCTGCAAGTCTTTCTGTCTGGACGTTCATTCTCTAGAGCCACAGAGGAGGTCAGAGTGACTGCCCCCAACCCACAGGCTCTGAGATGGCTGCCACATTCTTCCCCAGGCTCCCTGGCTTGTATCCTGCCTTCTCTGGCGGCCCCAAGACTCAGACCGGGGTATCTGATACCTATATTATAGGACTGGAGGCCCTGTGAGGTTCAGGCTGGGAAGAAAGGGGTATTGTCCCACCTGCCCAGCCAGGAAGGAGAAAAGGGGGCATGAGGAAGCAGGGTGGCCATTGTATATTTGAAGGACACTGAGTTGTGCGGAGGGGCTCTCAGGCCCAAGGATGGAGACAGAAAGCCAGGCCAAGCAGGGTCAAGGGCATGCCGCAGGCTCTCAGAAGCGGGCCCAGCCCCATGAGCAGCAGCAGCAGCGCGTCCTGGAGGCTAAGTTGTCCTGAGACTCTCCCCATTTGCAAGAGTAGAGCCTCCTGCTGTCCTGGACCCTCACCGGCCCCCTGACTCTGGCCCCTCGTGAGAAGTTTGTGCTGTGGCAGAGTGCGACCTGCGGGCCTGTGGAGAGAGAGAGGGTGGCAGCTGGGTTTAGGGAAGTTGTCCACTGGCCTGCCCGCCTACAATGCCCACCTGCCAGGCTGTTGCCCACTTACCTATGGAGCAGGTCAAAGGCGAGGAAGCTGACCAGAAGCAGCAGCAGGGCTGGGCCAGTTGTGGAAAAGACTGCCCGGATTGTCAGCCCTAGTGCCCCCAGCCCTAGGACACTGTCCAGGAGCTGGGCCCAGTTAGGGCCCCAGGAGGACACACGTGGATGCACTGGACTACCCAACCCCTCCCCAGCACCCAGGCCCCTAGGAGGAACTGGGATCGGATCCTCAAGGGCTTCGGGTCTGGGTAAGCAGAGCCGGGTCATGGAGGGAGGTGGAGGTGACAGGAAGAACTAGTGCTGAAAAAGATTACAGGAATGGGAGTTGGGGAAGGGGTAGGGCCCTGGCAGATACAAGGGTGAGCTCGGAGTGGCGAATTAGGTTCCTGCAGAGTCTCCCCCTCCCCCATACTCACCCACCAAACCCTCCTCACTTCCTCCCACTTTGGTCAGCATTCTGGGACTGGGCACCTGGGGCATTGTGACTTGTTGCCAGGTGGGGCCGTGGGGTAGGGAGGGGGCTGCTGCTGCTGCTCTAGCCTCATAAGCAGCTGGTGGCCTAGGTGGGGCTTAGCTGGGAAGTCAGGGATTTCTGAGAACTAAGACTCATCCTCTTGCCTTTGCTAATTCTCTGCCCTAGGGCCCTCCCTTGGGGATCTGAGTTGTCAGGAAGGCATTCTAACCCCATTACTATTTGGGCATCTGTCCAAGGGAGCAAGGTCTGCTTTCTTCTTCCTGTGAGTTTGCAGAGCTGCATGTCCAGGGGCAAGTCATTCAATATCTCTGTCCCCAGCTATCTTCCCTGTGGGTCCTTCTGGGGGATTTTTCAGGCCTGCAGTTCCAGATTGCAGAGATGGGCTCTGCCAGGAGACTGCCTGAGGCTTCTGGGGCGGGGCTGTCATATAACCTGCTAAATGGGGGTGGGAGAGGAGGGGGCTGTTCAGGTGTTCTAAGCACTACAGTTTATAGTGGGTATTATGCATACTGGGTTTCCAGTAATGAGGTAGAGGACATGAATTTAAGAGGACTATGACCTAGTAACCCACATATTAGAGGTTAAGGTTACACTCAGAATGGAGTTATATGAACTTATAACTGAGAATGGAGTTATATGAATGGAAAATGAACATATAATGAAGGGGTTAGTCACCTCGATTATCAGTATATCATATTACACTGATAATCTGTAAATGGGTGGTAGCCATAGGAGTCCAGCGCATCTCAGTTTAGTGACTTGAGAGGCAAGAGTGGAAATGTGTCATAATTAAGAGAACTTAATCTTTGCCCGCATATCATACTTTGAAGGAAAACTGGTAGGGGTGGCAAAAAGGGAGACAGTGGCCATACAGACCCTAGGAGAGGAGGAGACAGAACAAGAATCAGGCTGCATATCCACCTCTAGCAGGCCTTGCCCAGAGACCAGTGTCACCAGCCCTAGCGACCATGCACTGATCGCTCTTGCTCTGGCTGTTCTTGCTTATCCAGCAGCTGGACTTTCGGAGTAGATTTGTCCATAACGGGATAAGGTATAGCAGAAGATCCCAGAATTTTTTTTTTTTTTTTTTTTTTTTTGCATTAAGTTCCAATTGTGTTTGTAAAGGAGCATTAAGGTCTAAGATTGCCAATTCCCTGAGCCTGATCAACCCTGGATGCATCCACACAATTGCATTCCTGGACATACAGACCTGGGGAGCATGTCCTGAAGAGTCCACCAAGATGAGGCTACTCCATATTGCAGGGCATGGGGGGATCGGAGAGACTAAAGCTCCTTAAAGATTTACTATGCACCAGGTGCTCTCCACGCATGTATAGGAGAGTTCTGTCTGTGATTTTCTCAGAGTTTATTTTTTATTCAACAATCATTTATTTAAGTGCTTCTTACGGGCCAGGCACTGTGCCAGATGGTGAGTGTATTAGGCCATTCTTGCGTTGCTATGAAGAAATACCTGAGACTGGGTACTTTATAAGAAAAGAGGCTTAATTGGCTTGCAGTTTTGCAGGCAGTACAGGAAGCAGGGTACCAGCATCTGCTTCTGGGGAGGCCTCAGGAAACTTCCAATCATGGCAGAAGGCAAAGGGTGAGTAGGAGCAAGGGAGAGAGTGGTGGTTGGGGGAGTTGCCACACACTTAAACAACCAGATCTTGAGAAAACTCACTATTTTTTTTTTTTTTTTTTGAGACGGAGTCTCGCTCTGCCGCCCAGGCTGGAGTGCAGTGGCCGGATCTCAGCTCACTGCAAGCTCCGCCTCCCGGGTTCACGCCATTCTCCTGCCTCAGCCTCCTGAGTAGCTGGGACTACAGGCGCCCGCCACCGCGCCCGGCTAGTTTTTTGTATTTTTTTAGTAGACACGGGGTTTCACCGTGTTAGCCAGGATGGTCTCGATCTCCTGACCTTGTGATCCGCCCATCTCGGCCTCCCAAAGTGCTGGGATTACAGGCTTGAGCCACCGCGCCCGGCCGAAAACTCACTATTTTGAGGACAGCACCAAATGAGGTATCCACCCCCATGACCCAAACACCTCCCTTCAGGCCCCACCTCCAACATCGGGATTTGAGATTTCAACATAAGATTTGGACGAATATTCAGACTATATCAATGGGTCATAATTTCTAAAAAGAGAACCTGAGGTGGGGATACTTGTACACATGGTTTATTGAGGGAGTGCTCGCAGGAGGAAAATCTTTTTTTTTTTTTTTTTTTTCGAGACAGAGTTTCGCTCTTGTCACCCAGGCTGGAGTGCAATGGCACCATCTCAGCTCACTATAACCTCTGCCTCCCAGGTTTAAGCGATCTCCTGCTTCGGCCTCCCAAATAACTGGGATTACAGGCGCCCGCCACCACACCCGGCTAATTTTTGTATTTTTAGTAGAGACAGGGTTTCACCATGTCGGCCAGGCTGGTCTCAAACTCCTGACCTCAGATGATCCACCTGCCTTGGCCTCCCAAAGTGCTGGGATTACAGGCATGAGCCACCCTGCCTGACCAGAAGGGGAAGATTTTTAAAAATGAAGAGACTCTTCAGAATTGAAGGACATGATTCTCTAGACCATAAGTTTCCACCAATTCACAGCACAATAAGTGAAAAAGGACTAGCTAACACCAAGGCATATAATGAAATTCACATTAGCAGGGATAAAAAGACACTCCTAAGAGCTTCCATCATATAAAAAATCACATACATTGGATCTGAAGCAAGAATGGTATCACACTTCTAAACACCAGTACTCGTAGCTAGAAGACAATAAATGCCCTCAAAATGATTTCCAATACAGAAATGTATATGTCTAAATGATTATTAATTGGGAGGGTAAAATAATGACATTTCAATTATACAAGTTCTCAAAAATTTGACCTTGCATATACCCTTTCTTAGAAAGCTACTGGAGGATGTGCTTCAGCAAAACAAGGAATTAAACTAAGAAAGACAGCAATATGGCATTCAATAAATGAGATTAAACACAGAAAACGGATGATGAGAAAAGCCTGGGATGTCAAATATACTCCCGGGTAAAGAAAGTAACCAACCCAGCCTGAAACCAGAAGATGTGCTCCAGGAGTGATGTCTCCAGAGGAAAATGAAATCAACTGATCATTAGCTATGTTTGGATATATTGAGTAAATGTTCAGTTATATTGGAAGCTTTGGGATTGAATTAATGACTGGTGCCTAGAAAACTAAGCAAATGATAAAAACAAAGTAATTACTAACTCCAGGTAGCACAAAAAGTTAAACATAATATTTATTTATTTATTTATTTATTTATTTATTTATTTAGTTTTGTTTTTTGAGATGGAGTCTTGCTCTGTCCCCCTGGCTGGAGGGCAGTGGCGTGATCTCGGCTCACTGCAAGCTCCCCCTCCCGGGTTCCCGCCATTCTCCTGCCTCAGCCTCCCGAGTAGCTGGGACTACAGGCGCCCGCAACCACGCCCCGCTAATTTTTTGTATTTTTAGTAGAGACAGGGTTTCACCGTGGTCTCGATCTCCTGACCTTGTGATCCCCCTGCCTCGGCCTCCCAAAGTGCTGAGATTACAGGCGTGAGCCACCACACCCGGCCTAAACATAGTATTTACATAGTCATAACAAAAGCACTGAATATTGATTCCAAATGGTGATTTAGCTTTATGAAGACGGAAGGAGGGAGTGTATGTTTGTGTATCTGGATGTGCGTATTGAGGGGAAGGTGGTAGAAAAACTCCTTTTTTTCATAGCAGAAATCCACAGATAATAACTACGTATAGAAAAATCAAGAAATGCACAGTGGCTCACATCTGTAATCCCAGAACTTCGGGAGGCTGAGGCGGGCAGATCACTTAAGGGCAGGAGATCAAGACCAGCCTGGCCAACATGGTGAAACTCCATCTCTACTAAAAATACAAAAATTAACTGGGCATGGTGGCAGGCATCTGTAATCCCAGTTACTTTAGTGGCCGAGGCACAAGGGTCACTTAAGCCTGGGAGGCAGAGGTTGCAGTGAGCTGAGATCTTACCACTGCACTCCAGTCTGGACAACAGAACAAGAAATTGTCTTTTAAAAAAAAAGAAGAAGAAGAAAAGAAAAAAAAAAAAGAAAAAAAGGAAGTAACAAGAAATCTAAGCATAGAGAAAAATATAGGAGAAATAACAAAAAGAACTAAAAGTGCTTGGCTTGGGAAAGGCATAGAGCAGAGTCTTCTATTACAAGCCTAAATGTGATTTACCTTTAATACTATATTGTAGCCTGGATGTCTATGGAAAACTGTATGAAGATTTCTCAGATAACTAAACATAGATCTACATTCAATTCAGCAATCTCACTACTGGATATCTACCCAAAGGAAAATAAGTTATTATATCAAAAAGACACCTGAATACATAGTTTATTGCAGCACAGTTCACACTTACAAAGATATGGAACCTATCTAAGTGCCCATCAACTGATGAGTGAATAGAGGGAATGTGGTGTGTGTGTGTGTGGAATACTACTCAGCCATAAAAAAGAGTGAAATAATGTCTTTTGGATGGAACTGGAGGTCATTATTCTAAGTGAAGTAACTAAGGAATGGAAAGCCAAATACCATATGTTCTCACTTATGAATGGAAGCTAGGCTGTGGGTTTGCAAAGGCATACAGAATGGTATAATGGACATTGAAGGCTCAGAAGGAGGAGGGTAAGTGGGGGTTGACAGATAAAAAACTACATGTTGCATACAATGTACACTACTTGGGTGATGGGTGCTCTAAAATTTCAGACTTCACCACTGTACAATTCTCCCTTGTAACCAAAAACCGCTTGTACCCCTAAAGCAATTGAAATAAAAATAAAAACTATGTTGTAGCCTGGATAACATAGCGAAATCTTGTCTCTGGAAAAAAAAAATATATGGCTGGGAGCAGTGACTCACACCTGTAATCTCAGCACTTTGGGACGCCCAAGGCGGGCAAATCAGGAAGTCAGGAGATTGAGACCATTCTGGCTAACACAGTAAAACGTCGTCTCTACTAAAAATTTCATGTGCCTCAGCCACTCAAGTAGCTGATGAAATTTTAACACAGTGAAACCCAGTGTCTACTAAAAAATTAGCTGAATGTGGTGGCACGTGCCTATAATCCCAGCTACTTGGGAGGCTGAGGCAGGAGAATCGCTTGAACCCAGGAAGTGGAGGTTGTAGTGAGCCTAGATCACACCACAGCACTCCAGCCTGGTGACACAGTGGGACTTCGTCTCAAAAAAAAAAAAAAAAAAAAGGTAGAAATTAGCTAAGCGTGGTGATACGTCCCAGATACTTGGGAGGCTGAGGTGGGAGGATCGCTTGAACCCAGGAGTTCGAGGCTGCAGTGAGCTGTGATCACACCACTGCACTCCAGCCTAGGCTGTGGGAAAGAGAGTTTCCGGGGTGCCAGTTGAGTTAGTCTTCCCTATGTGAGACACCCATGGGAAGTCATGGGCGGCCTCTGAGGAGAAACGTCTCCTTATTGCCTTCATGTCTTTATGCCCCAGAGCATAACCACTCAGCGGCATTCCACAGGTTGCTCAGGCAGATAACACTCCCTTGAAGCAGTGGAGTATACTCAAACATCTTGGCTCCTCCTGAAACCCACTCCCGCCTGTTTAAGTCCTGATAAGTTAAATTTTTTTTTCCTTTTTTTTTTTTTTTTTTTCTGAGACGGAGTCTTTCTCTGTTGCCCAGGCTGGAGTGCCGTGGCACGATCTCGGCTCACTGCAAGCTCCGCCTCCTGGGTTCACGCCATTCTCCTGCCTCAGCCTCCCGAGTAGCTGGGACTACAGGCGCCGGCCACCATGCCTGGCTAATTTTTTGTATTTTTAGTAGAGACGGGGTTTCACCGTGTTAGGATGGTCTCGATCTCCTGACTTCGTGATCCGCCCGCCTTGGCCTCACAAAGTGCTGGGATTACAGGCATGAGCCACCACACCCAGCCAGTTAAAGATCTTAAGTAGTTTAGACACTCGCCTTTGCTCAAGGAAATTCATAGAAACCGCCACTACTATACGTCTTATCAAATGACTCTCGAGTTCTCCTTCACTGATTAATCCTTTTCCTCATCCCTTCCTCCTCCTCCCATCTGCCCTAAGAACAGAGAGCTTGTAAACCAATAAATTGGGCGGAGCCTGAGAGCTCTGGGCCCTGAGCAAGCCTCCGATGCTCCGGTCCCTCCCGTCCGTGGACTCGCCTTTTAAACGCTTATTCTGCCCCTTTCTAACTCCTTTGTCTCCGCCGGACTCGGGGTACCCGCTAGGTGGTATGGGGCTGTTTTCCTCAACAGAGCAGGACAGTATCTCTTTTTTTTTTTTTTTTTTTTTTTTGAGACGGAGTCTGGCTCTGTCGCCCAGGCTGGAGTGCAGTGGCCAGATCTCCGCTCACTGCAAGCTCCGCCTCCCGGGTTCGCGCAATTCTCCTGCCTCAGCCTCCCGAGCAGCTGGGACTACAGGCGCCCGCCACCTCGCCCGGCTTATTTTTTTTTGTATTTTTAGTAGAGACGGGGTTTCACCGTGTTAGCCAGGATGGTCTCGATCTCCTGACCTCGTGATCCGCCCGTCTCGGCCTCCCAAAGTGCTGGGATTACAGGCTTGAGCCACCGTGCCCGGCCCAGGACAGTATCTCTAAAAAAAACAAAACCAAAACTATATTTTGTAGCATTTTGATAAAAATGACTTAGTTACAAAGAACAAATCAACAGTCATGCTATGGAGATCAGGAATATTCCTTCCCAGGATAAATGAAACGTTATGTGGATATACTCTTGTGGCTTAAGATAAAATTACCAGTGACAGCATCAAATACCAGGGATAAAACTCAGAATGTTGTGAATCTCCTGCATTTCATGTGGAGGTGCTCTAAACCACCACGTAGTGCTTCTCAGCCTTTAACACGCATATGTATCTCCTGGGGTTGAATCCTCTGGGAGTCTTGTTAAAATGCAGATTCTGAGGCCAAGGCGGGAGGATCACAAGGTCAGGAGTTCGAGACCAGCCTGGCCAATATGGTGAAACCCCGTCTCTACTAAAAATACAAAAATTAGCCGGGTGTGGGGCGGACGCCTGCAGTCCTAGCTACTCAGGAGACTGAGGCAGGAGAATTGCTTGAACCCGGGAGGCAGCAATTGCAGTGAGCCGAGATCGGGCCACTGCACTCCAGCCTGGGAGACAAAGCGAGACTCTGTCTCAAAACAAACAAACAAACAAAATGCAGATTCTGATTCAATAGGTCTGGGACAGAGGTGTTTTTGTTTTGTTTTGTTTTGAGACAGAGTCTAGCTCTTTCACCTAGGCTGGAGTGCAGTGGAGCCATCCCAGCTCACTGCAACCTCCACTTCTTGGGTTCAAGCGATTCTCCTGCCTCAGCCTCCCAAGTAGCTGGGATTACAGGCATGCACCACCACGCCCAGCTAAGTTTTGTATTTGTAGTAGAGACAGGGTTTCACTGTGTTGGCCAGGCTGGTCTTGAACTCCTGACCTCAGGTGATCTGCCCAGCCTCAGCCTCCCAAAGTGCTGGGATTACAGGCATGAGCCACTGCACCCAGCCTGTTCTGCATTTCTAACAAGTTCCCAGGGGATGCCACTGCTGCTGGTCTTCTGGTCTTTAACCACACTTTGTGAAGCAAGGCTCTCAAAGACCTTGATGTACGTAGGAGAGAAAGCTGGGGAGGACAGTTATTAGGGGAGAATGGGTGCCTGGGGAGATGCTACCCTGTGCATCCTGGTCCCATGTGAGACTCCACCAATGCTCACCTACATCACAGGGAGTGAGTTCTGCTTTAGCATCCAGGCACAGGAGATTAGAGGCACAGGCAGGCAGTAGATTCTACTACTTCATTAGTTGTACTGCTGGACACACAGTTTCCTTTCTTTTCCTTGATACTGTTTTATTCCATCTAAGTATGTAGGAGTAACAGGGCTGTGTTATGCTGTTTTCCCCACCTTTAATTCATCTGATTAATCTAGGAGCCCCCTAAGGCCCCACATTATCTCACTTTATCATCACAGCAACCCTGGGAGAAGGATACGGTTCCCATTTTACAGATGAGGAAACTAAGTCTTAGGGAGGTGAAACTACTGCCCAAGGACAGCCAAACAAAATACATGTCAGAAGTGGGACGTGAAACGAAGCCTGTGTGTTACCAGAGTCAACCTATCCTCT